GTTCAGAATAACTGTGTAGAAGAATTAATAGGGCTTTTCATTACTGCTCAGCAGTACTTGGTAAGTGAGACGAACTCACAATAAGACCAAACTCCACTCGTATCATTACCGTCAAGTACTCTGACTTTAATCCTTGATCATATGTGAGTGACTCTCTAAAGTCTTACAAAGTATAGAGACATGTTATTCGTTAGCACTTCCTAAGGATTTGCATAATATAAAGCAGACGTTTTGCTACGTTGTTCAAAGGGACATAATTTGAGTTATTAAACTTTGTTCCAAACTTGCGTTATGCAAATTTTCCATACATACAAACAATGGCAAGTGAAAATTGTATATATGAGATGTCTTTATGGTGGGTGGATGATAGGGGATATTTTGTAATACAGTGATAAGTAAAAAAAAATATGCTTGTTTAAAAACAAGTAAAAATGCGCCATACTGCACCCTGCTGCAATACAATGCAACTCATTGTATTGACTGGCAAAGTGTCCAATCAATATCACTCTTAAAATGATTTTCAGTTTGTCCTATAGTATTTTGTTTGTAGTTAGATAGATTTTTTAAAGACTAGACTTGCCCCCTCCCCTCAAAAAAATCTATTCAATTAACAAAACAAATACAGACAAAAAACAAAAATATAGACCACTTGAAGCTGACTAGTTGTCTGCATCCCTATTATGTTTAGTAACCATAGAATGTATCATGTATATCTGTATATATATACTAGACAAAATTGCTAACGCACCACCTAAGAAAATTGATATTTTACTTTTAAAAACTTGTTTATGATGTATTTGATATATAAATATGTTACTTTAACAAAAAATAAGGCATATTAATGTCAAACCCTATAAATAAATACAATGTTTACTGAAGTGTGACCAATTCATAGAAAAAAAATAAAATCGTTTCTATTCCATTTTTGAAGGAAAAAAATTCAAAATTTTCTTTGTATTTGTGTTCTTTGCTAGAGCAGACGTCGCGCGCGCGCGCGCGCGCGCGCGCGCGCGGGTTCCTTACAGAAATCTGTAAAAAATGAGAACAATAAAAATTAATACTTATGAATTTCACTCATGAAAATTTGTTGTAAATAGAGTATCAAATATAAAAATGTTTATTACAGATTGCCACGGCTTTAAGTTAGCTGCATAGAATAAGTTGAAAATTGTTCTTCAAAACTAGGTCAACTGGAAGTTGGGGATTTGGTATGGACATTAAGGCACCAGATGATTGATTACTAGGCTATATGAGAGTAAATGACTGTTTGTTATTTGATTTATTACTAGGGGAATACTCCTGTGGCAACCTCACAAACCACCTACAGTGATCAAGGATTTCATACCTAGGCAAAAATGGTGCGCAGTTCACAGCTGGATATTGCTTTTCGGAAAAGAAGGTCATTCAAAGGTCTTTTCATGATACCAAGGCATTTGTCAATCCCACTGTTTTGGAAATGATGGCATATTATATACACTAGAGCCGATCCGGCAAATGTTCAATTCACAAATAAGAATTAACAAGTGGTGCGTTAGCAATTTTGTCAAGTTTAGTTGCTTGAGAATGTTCTGTCTGTAGTGCTTCAAAATCTTAAACCTGTTCTTCATTCGGAAAAAATGTAGGTTACACACAGCATCAAAAGCATATCCCTAAATGCAACATCTACAAAGATTTGGACTCCATATGACAAGTGATTTCAAATCAAGTTTCCAAATCAAATCTGGTAATGTGCTTCCCTACATGCGCTTATACAAGTTTGGACTAGATACAGCTTGTAATTAATCGGAAATGAACTTGTTGTGGGATAAAAAAGATATATTCTTTTTGCCGTCTTTAAACAATCTTTATACATAGTGACCTGGACAAAACAATATATATGTTAGCTAAATTGTGATTAGTAGTGTCTAGGAGCAAGCCCCTGTGCTTCAGATACTCTTTTAATTACATGACTTGCTAGATACCACCCCCTTAGTCATACTCCTTTGAAAACTATTAACCACTGTAAAAGAGAAACTTCAAAACTTTCTGTGCTATAATATATTTTAGAAGTGGTGTCATTCAGATGTGGATTCTCGAATACTAAGAAATCCGAAGAACTTTCAGAAAATTTAAAATGAAATTTTTTTTCTACAGCCAATTCATCACAATAAATTGGCTTTTTGATGTCATAGACATTTGCTTTTTCAACAGAAACAAAAGTCGGAAATTTTCTTATCTCATCAAAATTTCTTAGTTTAAAATCACTCTGACGTACAAAAAATTGAAGTTGATATTGAAAGGATGTTGGTATTCCTTTTTGACAGCATCAGAACTGCAGTGTTAAGGTTTTATATATTAGACTGTCGTCAAAGACTTGCGAGTACATTATATACGTATATAAAACCATAACACTACAGTTTTGGAGTCATAACAACATTTATGTATCATCTTCCAACAAACTGTCGTGAAATCCGATGGGCACTAACTGTGCTCTTTTATTAGCCGATCTACTTTTATACCCCTATGTACGAGGGCTGTTCAAAAAATAATGTCCTCGGTGCTCGGAAAGAAACAAAAAACCCGCTATTCAATGATTTAGTCTTAATGATTACACTTAAATATTCTCTTATTAATTAAAACACATATCCGTGGCATTTTTATCCAATTTCTGATTGTTTTTAGAACACATTTTTGAGGATAGCCCTTCGTATACTGGAATATGGCAGATCCTATAATTTCATCGACTTGTTTCTTCTTTCTGAAAGTTGTTCTTTCAAGTTTGGAAAATGAAACAAGTCAAAAGGCGAAAGATCTGGCGAATATTGTTAGTGTGAAAGAAATTCACTTTCTATTTATCCCCAAAACTCCTTTACTCTTCATGGCGTGCGGGTTTGGACGCTGTCATGAAGAAATTTAATGTATTGGATTTCTGATTTTGATTCCTTCCTCTCTTAAATCTTTCGATTTTTGTCAACAATTTTGCTTTATAGACTCCTTCAGAAATTTAACTGCCTCCCAGAATAATAATTTTAACAACAAGACGAGAAATATTTAAGAAAATGGCATATAAAAATGTCTGTGCTCTTGCAATTTTTTGCTCTTAGACCCTTGCTGATTCTTTATCATTCGTTTTAATGCAGTGTCTCGAATAGCACTTGTTTTCCAGCTTCTCACAATGAAACTATGTAATGAAAAGTGGTCACAGAAACTGTTCATCAATTCATTAAAAGATTCAATCATGAGAGAAAGTCAAGCTTCATGTCATAAGATTTCTATGTTGTATGTCATAGAGTTCAGGGCATTATTTACTGAACAGCTCTTGTGCGTATAAAGGTAGAATTTATTCAAAAACTTCTACATGAGAAGAAGAAAAACTCTTGGTGTGGCCTTTGAACATCTCAACATACAGATAATTATACAGAAGATGTTTTATCAATTGACAATAGATATTTCCATTTGTGTGTCGATTTGATATGTCGGAGTGAAACTGAATCAAAAGACCCCGCAAAGTCTGCCTAATCTTTTTGAAAATTTGATGTATTACTGACTCTTGACAATAAGGACCAACTAACTTCAGCTTATATTTTCCATCCTCAACTTTCCTTATCTATATAGTAATATTCCGTTATCCCTTACGTATGGTGTTGACGTCTCACGACTTACTTAGTATTCGATACTCAAAAGTATGCTCCGAACGTAACAAAGCCAGGCTACTAAAATGTAAGGTGATGTTGCAGAGTTTTCAACAATGTCGTTTAAGGTATCCGATCCATAAAGGGACATAATTTTCTAACCGTAAATATCCATCCTGTGTTAAATACTCTGAAACTAATTCAAATCAGTTTAGAGTAGAAAAGGATTTACCAAACGAATTTTTCAAAAATATAATTACCTGAGAAGTAATTAATTAATTAAGAATGCAAAGTCTATGGGAACAAGCAATTTGTTTAAAAAAAATACTAAGAATATTAAAAAATGCTACGGTGGAAAGATGCATATGATTATTAAGAATAGAAAAACAGTTAAAAGAATTTCACCATGTAGATTTTTTTTCAATTAAATTTTATTGATTTAAAGGGGGGGGGGGTAACTCTTAAAGGACGGGTCAAGGTAAAAAATTAGGACACATTCCACTCTTACATATTGATACTAAAACATGAAGATTATTTCTACATGTACTGAGTATTCAGCCAATATATATCTGTTTTGCATTCAGATTCATTGAATCTGAGGCTATTATGGATCGGATACCTTAATCAAATTCATCATTTTGTAAAATCTATGTCTATACCTAACATTGAGTCGTATTTTGATTGACATGTTTCATTCAAATTGTTGGGCCGATATGTCTAAGAATTTTTCCGTTTGTCTGATCATGACAAGGCGCACACTGTGGTAGTGAGTCGTGGACAGGGGATGCTTACTCCTCCATGGCACCCGAGCCAACCTTTGATAATTAAGAGGTCCAAATATTTTCGTCTACCCCCTATATGTATCGTTTCTGAGCTTCGTTATATCAATATTTCATGAAATTAAAAACTCAAAATTAATGAAAAATTTCATGAAATGGAGAAGTATCATATATATAACAGCATGAATTTTATCAACAGCTAGGAGACAATTGTCTGAAAAAGGAGTGAATTGGGTTGCATTTCTTTGTTTGGTTTAGAATTTACATTAGTAAGCATTTAAAGTATTTAAAAATTTTGGATACTGCATCTGTTAAGGAGGTATGATTAAATGATTTCTTTATTTGTGATGTATTTTTAATTATCAAATTATTTTTATTCGAAAATAATCATCCAAAATTAATTTTCACCGAGAACGACATCTTTTAAAAACAGGTTGACCACTGTAGGTAATTCAAAACACCGATAATTTTTTCCCATAGATTTCTGTTAATGTTTATTTCACAATCTTCATTTTTCACAAAAATAGAAACAGACATTCTCATGCATTATCAGTGTCGTAACAGGCAAAGGCAATCGAAGGTTACTTAGTTTCAAAAGAGAGCGATTCTCCTAGGTCATAAGCACTTGATTAGGAATATTACAACAAATTTGGTAAAATTATAAAAAATTTTGGCGGTCGACACCTCTCAGTCTTCATGGCCAGTTTCTGGTATTTCCTTGCTGCAGGTATGTAAGTTTAGAAATTTTGCGTCTTCGGTAAAAACAGCAGGGACAGCAAATGATTGAAAAATGTCTTTAAAAAGTGTGATCTCATTTAACACTGATAATATCCCAATAGTGGCAATTCAATTTGTAATGACTATATCGGCAGATAATCTAAATGTTTTGCCCTTTTCTAATTTTCAGTGGTAGGTGTGACCATTTTGGCTGTTGGAGAAGGTATTTTTTCCTTTATTACAAAAATGCATTTTATTTACAAAAGTGACTTTTTTCTGCTTACTTTCTTACCCCAGAATATAATTTTAAAATCGGTATAGATGTAATTGGTTAATATTACAAAGCTAGTATGCATTGTATCATGAGTTTCTTCAGTACTAAAACAAAAAAAAAATTGAAAGGGAATTGCAATACCTCATTAGAATATTCCTCCTTCTAGGATTACAATGTCTGCAGTGTACTGGAGTGTCATTCCCACAAAACTGTACACTGTGGTTAACTGTTCAGATCATTATGTACGTGTAGTTTATCATTGATTGTTGGTCTTGAGTAGTACCATTTACATTTCACTAAGCAATTTGGTAATGATTATTATTTTATATTTATAAAGACATTGTTATGATATGTATTAAAGGTTTTCTAAATGACAAATTATTAATTATGAATATGTTTTTATATAATTGTTCTATTACTTTTCGGTCTTGTTTGACATCTGTAGTTGCAGGTTAATTGCTTTCATTTGCTGTTGAGGAAAGGCATTTTTGCACATGGAGCAATATCTAATTATTGACATCTCTTTCCGGTCTCACGATATCAATGTCATTTACTCATACTTGTTATCAACTTTATGGTTAGATCTTAGGATTGTGTTCTTTGAATTTGTTATGCTTATCTCTATCTAATTTCAGTGTTGTAAATTAATGTCATACGGATTTTTCCTGTTCATGCAACTTTCTATCCTTAATTTAATTGGCTGGTCAGTACGAAAGTGGGTGGAGTTGTCAAAGATTAGATGTGAGTGAGTTTGTATGTGAGTCAATTTTGGACAATTCTTTGTTAAATTCAGTTTGTTCCATCTACGAAATTTGTCTAAATTGTGTTTTTGTGAAATTTATATATTTTTGAACTGACAATAAATTCTAAACGTTAAAACCGACTTATCAATTGACTATATTACATGGTGGAGAATCCGGGTTTCATTTTTCTTTGGACTTTTAATTACTGTGAAACCACAAATCTTCGTGGGGGTTTAATTTTTGTTGTTTTCGAGGTATGACGAGACCCTGGAATTCATGTCCACCACGAAATGTAAAATGTCACATACATAAGTACTTATTAAATCTTGATCCACGAAATGAAATCCCCAAGAGATTTTCCTCAAACCACGAAAATTTGACCCTACGAAAATATGTGATTTTACAGTATTACATCATGGATTATAACAGTTCTGATTGTTTTGGATTTTGTTCCCCAAATCAAACCGTTCTCGAAATTCCAGCAGATAGTCAATCATTGACCTCCCCCGTAGCGATTTCTGCTAAAATAGAACTTACTTAGTTTCAATGATACACAAGCGAAAAGGCCCAGAAGTTTCTGCAGGAATTTGAATCTTTCTGCACTTTGCAGAATTTGAAGGACAATAGCAGAATTATCGCTGCATTCCATTTACACCTGAAGGGACCAGCCCTTGTGTGGTTTAGTACACTGGAGGTGACCGACAAACTTTCATGGACTGTTGTCAAGGAGGCATTCAATGCGCAATACCTCAGCAGATCTCTGTACGATCCGGCGATCATTGCAGAATCCGCCAAATTTGACGCTTTGACCATAAAGCCTGGGGCCTCAATAGAAGGCTTCCACAGCCAAGTACTGGAAAAGGTGTCCAGACTGGAGAAACCAGAGAGAGATCTCACTGCGAAATTTATTAATGGACTCCCCCAACAACTGGCCTTCTTTGTCCGAGCTGCCAATCCGAAGAGCCTCCAAGCCGCATTCCAGGAGGCCAAACTCGGAGATGCTTATGGATATCGCCAGTCTACGGCTCCGGTATCGGTCGCTGCTGTTACAACTAAAGAACCCTCAGCGACCTCTAAAACACGGAGAAGCTTTTGTCGCAGCTCGTGGAATCAATGGACCGCCTAAAAGGCCAGGGACCCGGATAGGAAGCCCGCACATCGCCCAAGACCAGCACCAGCCCACCCAATAAGGAACTCCCGATACGTGTGTTACAATTGCACTGACCCAAACCATTGACAAGCTGAGTGCAACTGGAACGGAAACGGACCCCGTGAACCATCCGTAATGTGCCAGATCTGTAAGCAAAACGGACATAGTGCGCGGCCTGTAAAAAGGTCACCGTTGCGGGAAACTAACCGCGCCCAGTCTGCAAAAGGCACCCACAGCCTGCGGCGGTGAATGTGACAGTGCCAACATCTCAGATTATGAAAATGTGTTTTGTGAAAGTGTAAATAGTGAAAGTGAATGTGATGAAAATAATGCTGGGGAATTTATGTACATGCCAGTCAAGATCCAAGGTATGCAAGTTACTGCACTGTTAGATACTTATGGAACGCCATCACTCCTTATAGCATAAAACTATGCATTCATTATGTCAATCTATCATTACGTGATGTGAACATATCTTTATGTTATGTCAATTTTTTATGGGGTGATGTAAAAATATCTTTACATCATGTCAATGCTGCATTACATGAAGTAAACACATTCTTCCATTTTGTCAGCACTTTATAACTTGAAGTCCAAAGTTCATTATGTGAAGTGAAAATATGTTTACATTGTGTTAAAACTTGATTACGTAAAATGAATGTTTGTTTATATTATTTCATTTCTTTAATACGTGAGGTCAAAATTGCATTACGTCAAGTTAATTTCGTTTTACATGTGTTCTATGATTAATTTATCATTACGTTAAGTCAAAGTCCATTCCCTTTTGTGAGTTTATATTTCTATTATAACTAAGCATTATTACGTGATGCTTAAGTATCTTTATTTTACGCCGAGGTCATCACAATGTGAGGTGAAAACATCTTTATCTTTATGTCAGTGCTTTATTACGTGATGTAAAAAGGTTTATAACATAATGTGAACATATATTATGGAGACAGTCCCGGCGTTCCATATTATACCAACACTTTATTACATTATGTCAAAACTCCATTCCGTGATGTGGATATATAATTACGTTATGTGAACTCTTTCTTATGTGATTTAAAACTATCTTTACATTGTGTTAATTCTTTATCATGTTGGTTACAAATGTTTATTACGTGCTGTAAAATACATTTACATTATGTCAAAGTTGATAACCGTGCTTTCACGACTGGGAAGGGGGAGAGATTAAATAATTAGGACAAATTACAGATACATAATATGAGGGAGGGGGGGGGTCTGGCTTCCTCTTTTTTCAAGACATAACTTTATTATATAAAATGTTAATTGAAATTCGCCCCACTTTTTGCTGAAGTATATGGGTAATGTAGTATATTTGGAAAATTTTTAAGGACTGATAGAAGTTGGACCCCCCCCCCTCTTTCACCCGAAAAGGATTTTCGAGTTTGGAATTTTTTTGTTTGTTTTTTTTTGCTTTTTCTTGTCTGGCTGACAAACCTCCCCAAACTTTCAAAAACGATGCAACGTCACTGGAATGAGTCATTTTTCAACCATTCCAAAAATCTACCAGTCCCTCACTTAAATCATTTGACCATTCCTTAGTAAACATGGGTACATATCAGTGGCGATCTTGGGTTCTTGAAAAGAGTAGCTATAGTGGGACGGTATGGTGTCTAAGTTGGGGACCGGGGGGGGGAAGCCTGGAGGCTTTTTTTTTTTTTATATATAAAACGTTTCAACTTATTTCAGTTATACCTTATGTGAGACTTATGCAATGTCCTACAAAGTAAAACCAATTAATTAATTTCATGCATATTTTGATCACTAAAGATGGGAGGGAAGGATCCACCTCTCCCCACCCACCCACCAGAGCACGTATGAAATACGATGTGTTTACACTTTTTTTTTTTTTTTTTTAAAGGAGGGTTAAAGACTGATAAAAATCTAAGGACAGTGTTTTGTATAGTTAGATCAGAAATTTCGGACTTTTCAAAATAATTCAAAATAAAAAGGAAAATATTGCTGCATAACACATACTATTTGATTTGCGATAATTATGAGATTTAACGGCCATTGAATTTCGACGTGAAAAAAAAAACAATCGTCAATAAAGATTCCACGGGAACATGATCCTATTTATAAATTTAAACCTGATATTTAATTAAGAATTAATAAAGTCCTGTGTATATAATTTAATATTTGATATGTTTGATTTAAATTATTTGCATGTTTAACATATGCATGTAATATTGAAAATACAAAACGAACTTTTAGGCATAACCTAAACCTTACGTCACACAATAAAGAGTTGAAATTTTCTAAGATATACTGACAATAGGCTAAGCATTTTAGACACACTGTAAAGGTACAGTGGCATAACATAATAATGATTTGTCAAAAAGTAAGGGAAAATCGAAATCATGTAATAGATTCCCGTCGTCATGTAGCATATTGATGACACAATATAGTAAAGAATTGGCCACATGTGACAATTTTTTTCACATCATGTAATGAAATTCTGACATCGTTTTATAGCGACTTGATATTGAATTAAAGATAAATTCACATAATGTAATGAACTACTTAGCAACCAAATGGTAGAGAGTGCACATAATGTAATAATGAGTTGAAATTATGTATAAAAACATCTTTACACCACGTAAAATTGTTTTGGCTTAATGTCATAAAAGGCTGATACACCGTATAATGCAATGGAAGATTGGCGCAATGTAATTGAAGTACGAGTTAATGCCGTAAAGACTTAATATAATGTAATGGAAAGTTGACATAACGCAATAGTAGCGTGTGTAAATGTCATAAAGAGTTGACATAATGTAATGGAAAGTTGACATAATGCAATAGTAGCGTGTGTAAATGTCATAAAGAGTTGACATAATGGAATGGAAAGTTGACTCAATGCAATAGTACTGTAAGTAAATGTCACAAAGTGTTGACATAATGGAATGGAAAGTTGACACAATGCAAATGTTGAGAGTTCTGCTATAAGGCAGTGACGGCGTTCCATAGATACTGGTAGTATCAATATCGTTTCTTAGTCTCTCTTTGATAAATTACCAGTTAAAAGCAAATCAAATTTTCGATCATGCAGTGAACTGACAGTTAACTTGGCCAATAATCAGTCTGGTTGCGTCTGTGGGACAGCCAGTATCTCAATGCAGACACCTTGTTCGTCTACAGTTCATTCAATATTTGTATATATTTTAGATTGTGCATCTCATCCTTTAATACTTGGTACTTGTTATTTGATTTCTAAAAAGATTGTGTGAGATTTTGACAAAATTTTTAACTTTTAGAGGTCAGAGCAAATGTACAAAAGTTAGATGTGAGCTGCGTTTTTCATTGCCACCCAATTCAGAAATGTTCA